GTGTTACATATATATTATTATTGCCCTGAATCACTGGTATAACATTTGGAGTTTTTGACTGCTTTAATCAATGGGCCAACATTTTGCATCATCATTCACCAACTTTTTGAAGGTTCTACTGGAGCATATCAGTAGAATCTATATCTCAGTATAAGTAATGCATTTAATTAATACTTACATTTTGAAATTATTTGTGGAGCTCTAAGGATGGACAGGTAGAAAATTGAAATAATATAAGCTTTGCTTTTTAACAAGTAGTTTAGAGAAGAGGAAAGAACAGTATAATCTCTTTCAGTTGTGTCATAAATATCATATGTTAATTAACTAATCTCTTCAGTGCTATTTATAATTTTGAATGATGAAGAATTCAAGGGCAATATGGCTTAGACAATCATAAAATACACAAGGAATACTAGGATATAAATATTAAGCAGGACTTGTTTTCAAATTACTGAATTATCACAATAATCCTTTATATATAGCATTTCTTGGAAGACAGAAAACTATACTCCATTTTTTCTTTTTCTGTAAAATGTGTAACATATTTTACACATCTTTCATGTATGTGAACATAGAGTTAATAAGAACTTGTTGTAATATCTTGCTGCATTATTTAGATATACAATTCAAAGAATGCACAATAATATATTAAATGGCAATATTCAGAATAAGGAATAAATATTTTTATGAACAATTTTCAGTGCTAATATTTGCAAAATTGCTTTCTCTTTTAAACTACATATCAGTGTAGCTTCCAAAGTAATGGAAACAATTTTCATTTGTCTTTTAAAAAAGACAGAAACTATCCTAACCCAGTGATGGCGAACCTTTTCGGCACCGAGTACCCAAACTGGAATGTGCATGCATGCACGTGCATGTGCCAGAGTATCGGAAACCAGAAAACCAGTTGGCTGGTGCGCATGCGCGGGCCAGTCAGCTGGTCTTCAGGTTTCTGGCCCGCGCATGCCTGTTTTTTGGACATTTTTTTGGCCGTTTTCAGGCCGTTCTCCAGGCTGTTTTCAGGTCATTTTCTGGCAGTCCAGCGCACGTGGACCAGCTGTCCTGTGCGCTTGTGTGCACCATAAACCAGAACACCACCGCAATGGCGCGTGTGCCCACAGAAAGGGCTCTGTGTGCCACCTCTGGCACATGTGCCATCGGTTCCCCATCATGGTTCTAACCAAATTGGTAAGAAATCTATAATTATAAAATTATAATGATAAAAAACAGGATTTCAAAACACTATGCAAAATTCTGCCCTTCTTTCAGTCAGATGATTGTAAGCAAGCCCTTCTCATAAGCCTTCTGTGAACCCAGTCAATTATTATTGATGTGGTAATTATTTTTTTAAAAAGTTATTTCTACCGTGCTGTAATGTCATTTTCTAACAAAACTTAAAATGAAACCAAATAATTGTTCAATGTCTTCAGCCTCTGGGAACTGTTTTGGTAGTAAATCAAAAATACTGAGGGAATAATATAATATTGAAGGTTTTTTTATTTATCTGTATTTTTGCTATAAAAGAAACCACCCAATATTCTTTGTGCAGTTGTAAATCTCATGAACTTGACAATTTAGGTAGTCCTTGACCACAATTGAGCCAAAAATTGCTGTCGCTAAGCAGGTCAGCTGTTAAGTGACTTTTGTCCTATTTTGCAACCTTTCTTGCCACAGTTATTAAGTGAACCACTGCATTTGTTAAGTTAGTAACATAGTTGTTAAGTGAATCTTGCTTCCCCATTGACTTTCTTATCAGAAAGTCACAAAAAGGTGATTTCATGGCTCCAGGACACTGCAATCATCAAAAATATGAACCAGTTGCCAAGAGTCTGATCACATGATTATGGTGATGCTGCAAGAGTTGTGTGAAGAGGAGTTGTAAATCACCTTTTTAGTCCTATTGGAACTTTGAATGGTCACTAAACAAATGGTTTAGTGAGGCCTTTAGTTGAGGGCTGTCATAAATATGAATTTAGTATACTATAGTTCCTACAGGAGTTGAAAAATCTTCCTTCCTTCCTTCCTTCCTTCCTTCCTTCCTTCCTTCCTTCCTTCCTTCCTTCCTTCCTTCCTTCCTTCTTTCCTTCCTTCCTTTCTCCTATTAGTTTTCAAATAGTTAAAAAAAATCTGAAAATAGAAAATAGGATACTGGATTTTTTAAGATGTTACACAGTTCCAAAAATATTTATGTTGTTCCTGTCTGATTATACTTCCAAATATATAAATTATGTTTGTAACACTGGTAAACTTATGTTTGCTTTTGGTAAAGTTATTACAGTAAAGTTGTTTTCCTGTTACCTGATCTGGAATTACCACATTCTGAATTGTCAGTTCTGGTTATAATAATATCAATAGATTTTTGAAGTGCCCCCAAAGAAACATCAAAAGTTTTCATTTGTTTAACATAAATCATATGCAATCCCAGTGGATTCAAAAATTCTAGTGGATATCACAGGAATGAATTTTCTCCATTAATGTATTCCATTTCACCTTCCCAGAAATACTCTTTTATATCACTGAACTTCAAAAATAAGAATTCAAAGGCATTCTTTCACTCGGCATTAAGAAACATCTTTGGTTCTAATAATGCAATGAACTCAAAAATTTGAGCTACTAGTTTTTAGAACTCTCACAAATTTTTAAGAGACAAAAAAACAAAACTATTATAGTCTGTCATTTGTTACCCCAGAAAAAGAAAAGAAAAGGAGAATTGTGAGCTTTTTATCAAAGGAAACTAAAATTGTCTTAATTGTAATGCTTTTCTTCAGTTATGAATTTAAATAGACTTGTGATGACATGTTATTGTCCTGTTTCTTACTTTCTTTTGTTTTTTTATTACCTGTAATTCATAATAATAGAACAAAAATACCAACTTTATTTTTTTTTTGTTTTAGAAAATGTTTGTGTTCAAAATATGTATCTCTGAATGACAATTGAATAGACAGATAGATAGCAGTATAACTTCATTGATTAGTCAGTTGTTTATATCAAAGCAATGGGCACCTGTCACAATAAGATACAGTAAGATAAGATAAAGTAGATTAAAGTAAGATAAAATATAGTAGGGTAGATAAAATAAAAAGAGCAAGATAAAATGGTATAAGATAAAACAGAATGCAAATGCATAAAATGAATGTTAAAACAATATGTCACAATGAAGGCAAATATATGTGTCCCAGGATAATTTTGCAGGATCCACTCTCGGTTGAACACTAGGACCAGAAGTTTAGTCTTCTGAGCTTTTGGACTCGTGATGGAGCCCATCTTGAGGGAACCTTTCTCTTTCTAGAATGACACATTCCAATGAGAGAGAAGTTCCCTGATGATGGAGTAGTTGATCCAGTACGAGTTTGAAAGCTCAGCGGACGTATGAAGGATTCTTGGATGTTCAGGGTAATCCAAAGTCACGAGAATTATTAACTCTTCAAGGATATAAGATAGACTGGTGGTCTTATTCGCAAGTGTACTCCAGGTATAAAAAAGATTTACATAGTGAAGGAATCTACAGTAAAAGACAAGAATTGGATAAGATCTTATTAGAAGGAGGGAAAGGGATATTATCTAAATGTTATGCATATTTATTGTCTCTGCAGATAGGACAGGATGTAGTGAAGGATTGTATGATAGCATGGGGGCGAAATTTTGGATATCCCCTTGACTTCCAGCAATGGGAACAGATTTGGTTGAAAAATATGAAATTAACCATGGCCTCCTCATATAAAGAAAACATATATAAAATGATCTACCGGTGGCATCTACCCCCGGCGAGATTAGCTAAAATGTTTCCCGGGACATCTGCCTGCTGTTGGAAGTGTGGTTACAGCAATGGAACCTATTTTCACCAATGGTGGACCTGCCCGCAGGCGGTTAAATATTGGAAAAAAATACGGCAATGGATTTTGGAAATTACACAGATTAATTTGGAATTAAGACCTGAGATTTTCCTATTGGGGGCAAAACCTTTGAATGTTAAGTCAGATATATGGTTCTTGTTGATTCACATTATCACTGCAGCAAGATTAGCGTATGCGCAGGAGTGGAAAAATCAATACTTACCGATAGATTTGAAAATAATATATAAAATTAATGAGTGTGCGGAATCAGATAGACTAACTAGATTGATCAATGGTAAAAAAGATTCAGAATTTTATAACAGTTGGAAAGTATGGTACGATTGGGTCCAGAAAAGGTGGGATAGAATAGACATATGATGATGTATATATATGATGGCAAATATGTATGTATAAAGGAATGATTTTATACTTATGGACAATGTAATCATATTATACCATGGTGGCAGGATTGTATATTTTATTTGTGTATTAGTGTATAGAATATATTAATAAAAATTATATAAAAAAAAAAAAAGAAAGAAAGCTCAGCGGGCTAAACCTCTGGTCCCGGTGACTGACCCAGATTGGATCATAAAACAGTTTGTTTTAGGTGAATTTATTGCCTAAACTTCAATGTGTTCCATGAAATTATTCTCAATTGGACATCAGTAATTATAAATCTAAACAGCTCTAATTACTACATATGTTTTTGTGCTATGAAGGTAATTAAAAAGTCTTTTGTTACAGTCTCAATATATGGTTCTATCAAGTAATTATAAGTACAAAGCCCTTGCTGGGGAATATAATTGATAGTTGAATGGGACATGTGCAACAACTTCTATTTCACAAATATATGTTCCCTCAGAATATGGCACTTGCTGAATTGTCTGTATTTAACAATATAGACCTGATGAAATCTTGCTCTGGTAAGGGCTGTCCTGTGGTATTGAGTCTAATACCCATTGACAAATATTATTCTGTTTGAAAAAAACTTTTGACCAGCCATTTTTGTGACCTGATGCTTGCAAGAGATACAACCAAATGTAGATGACATTGTGTTTTATTCTTTCTGCAGTGTTTGCAGAAAAGCATTCATATACAACTTAATGATTTGTTAAAGTAAGAAAAAAACAAACTTATATTTCTATTATTATTTTTGTCTTTCAGTTGACTTTAAACCTCAGGCCAGTATGGACATTGTCCACCATATGTTGCTATTTGGATGTAACAGTCCTGCTTCAGATAACGGTTACTGGTAAGGACATTGCTTCCATTGCACTAGTTAAATATTCTTCTTGTACAGTATTAAATTAAAGATGGGCTAGTGATACATAGTGGTGAAGCATGGAATGAGACCTGCGTATATTTAATTATAAAGCAGAGTTTACTACTAGAATTCATTCCATTCTTGTCCTTGTTGCCAGCTTTCCTATTCTGTATAGGTAGTCCTTGACTTACAACAATTCGTTTAGTTACCATTTAAAGTTACAATGGCACTGAAAAAAGTGACTTATGACCGCTTTTCATACTGTTGCAGCATGCCCATAGTCATGTGATCAAAATTCGGACACTTGGCAGCTGATTCATATTTATGACAGTTGCATTTGCCCAGGGCTTGTGTGATCACCTTTTATAATTTTTGACTAGCAATTTCTGACTAGAGTAAGCATATTGGTCAATGGTGAAGCCACTTAATGTTACTATGTGTTACACATGTTACTAACTTAACAAGTACAGTGATTCACTTAACAACTGTGGTAAGAATGGTCATAAAATAGAGCAATAGCAATAGCACTTAGACTTACATATTTTCATAGTGCTTTATCACACTCTTTTAAGTGGTTTACAGAGTAAGCATATTGCCTCCAACAATCTGGGTTCTCATTTTACTGACCTCAGAAGGGTGGAAGGCTGAGTTAACCTTGAGCTGGTCAGGGTCAAACTCCAGGCAATGAGCAGAGTTAGCCTATAAATAGTGTGCCACCACTTAACAACTATCTGGCTTAGCAACAGAAATGTTGGGCTCAATTGTGGTTGTAGATCAGGGACTTACCTGTATGTCCTTATTACTAGCCTCTGTATTCAGTATTTACAATTGCTCAGTGAAGAAGGAAGAGATGAAGCTTGCATATAAGGCAGACAATGTAGCAAACCTATGGATGGAGGGATTAGTAGAGAGACTGTGAAGGATAAAGATAAGAGAAAATCACCATTTCTTATAAGATATTTGGTAGTGATTAATCATTACTGCATGGTCAACATTGCTCACAGATAGGCAAAACTTCTCAGTTTCATTTGTTTTTTATACAATCTCTATAGTTATGTTACCTTTTAAAATTGAAAAGTTCAAATTACATTAATAAAATGGTTATACAAAAACAGAAGAACTAGAAATACATTTTTTCAGAAAAATGGAAATACATTTTTGATCCATGTTTTTATGATTTTCCAAGCACAATATTGTCAATGAATTTACAGAGAAAGCATTCGAATACATACTTAATTTAATCTTCATTTTACTGCAGTTATGCATATCCCAAGACAAAAATGGCTGAGGGTTTTTTGTAGTGTATTTATTTCTTTTTTCTAATGGGAAACTACCAGTTTTACTTACTGCAACTATATTCTGTATATCCAACTTCCATTGATTAAGTAATAGAAATACATGTTTTGTTACAATTCTAGTAATGAGCAACATGTAACTCACTATTACTGTATTTATTTATTTATTTATTTATTTATTTATTTAATCCAATTTTGAAACTGCTCAATTCCTTAATGATTCTGGGCCTCAAGTAAACTGGCTTTTATTATTCCCTAAAAAACTGAGAAGCATTCCTCTCAAGAACACTTGCATAAAGGCTCAGGACCATTTACAGAAATAGAATTACAAGAGCAGAAATACAATAAACATAAATTTTATAGCATTAAAAATGCATTTCATAAGTATTAAGACAGTTGAAGCAATCAGGAGACACAGGAAATTTAAGAGATTGCTTGATTTCCAATAACATTGTTTAACAACATGGATTTGCCGAAGAGTAAACAGAGTTAAGTGTAGATGTCAAATAAATCCACAATAAAACTGCAAAAGAGGCTACATTGATGTTCTAAGAGTGTTTGAGGGAGAGTTCAGGAATAGGTAATTCTATAAAGAGCCAATTCTAAGCTCTGTGAGCATTTTATACATATGAGAATTGTGAGTTGGTCTTGGGAACCAGTGAAGTTGTTGGTAGATGGGATTTAGGAAAAAAATTTAGGAGGCACCAATTCTCACATATTTGGCTATATTCTGAGCTAAGTGCAATTTCTGAGCCTTTTCAAGGCTGTTTCATGCAGTACAATCCATATTTAACTTAGCAGTGCATAAATCACCAAGCTAGGCCTTTGTTCTTCCAATAGTGACACAACTGGTCAAAGACTAAAAGCTCTCTTTACTACTGACGATATATGATTGACAGCATCATGCTGAATTCAGGAAAAACTCCAGACTGTGAACCTGATCAGTAAGAGGAAATGCAGCTTTGTTGAGAATAGTCATTTATCCTGAATTCTAGTCCATTTTATCCATTCAGAGCCTTTCAATCTGGGCACATAAAAGCCTAAAGGAAATCTAACCTCTAGGTCACAGAAAAAGAAAAATATAATTACCATCAGCATTGATGATTGCCTTCTCTAAACCCGTGAACAATTCTTTCCAATGGCTTTATACGGATGTTAAATGGCATGGCACACAAGACAAAACCTTATGAGCCTCCATCTTCTGATTATATTTGGAGAGATAGGAACAGAACTACCCCAAAGTATTACCACCAGGCCCCTAATAGAAAAATGATGCAAGAAGACAGAGTTGCTTGTGTCTAAACATGCTGAGTTTTAAGGCATATATGAATTGTTAATACAATGTTTTTAAAAGTGTTCGTTCTCTAGTATTTCAGGCTGATTAGTCTAAATCAGGGGTCCTCAAATGACAGCTTTAAGACTTGTGGACTTCCAACTCCCAAAATTCTCCAGCAAGTTGGAGTCTAAATCAACTGATAAACTGATCATTTTTACTCTTTTGAAGTAAGGAGGAAAAATGCACAATTTTTATCCTTCCTTCCTTCCTTCCTTCCTTCCTTCCTTCCTTCCTTCCTTCCTTCCTTCCTTCCTTCCTTCCATATGGCCACCATCTCATAGAAAGAACTTTAATAAACCTCAGCTACTTCTTGAACAGAAATTCGAGCTGTATTTATTAAAAATGTTACATCACTGCGATACACTGAAGCTAAAAATAAACAAAGAAAACAACCATTAAACGGTACTGTTAGTCACTCACTTATGATTCACCGTATGAATTAATTAACTAAAATGAATTGCTTTTATGTTTAAATAGATAAAAGGTTGCAACTCCAATTTTAAATTCCCAGCTAATACAAACAGGTGCAAATATCTGCACCTTCTTTCTCATCAATAAGATACTGCTATTAATAAATAAGAACTTTGAAATGCCTTTTAAATTTTGATTGGGCCATTAATATTTGAAAAGGGCAGTTTATAAAGCAAGTAACCAGAAATGCTAGCAAGACCCCAAAGGGTTCTGAAAATGGAAAGGTGTTCTATTTATATACCACTGAAAATATATTCAGTAAATATATTTATTAAAGCTATACTCAACTTATTCAACTTTTTGTTTTCAATACTTCATGCACATTTCTATTATTCATAATTGATAAACTTAGTTTATACTATCTATCTATCTATCTATCTATCTATCTATCTATCTATCTATCTATACACACACACACACACACACACACACACACACAATTGGGGTTACTTTGTATTTTCAGTTTTTTTCACTTAATTTTATTAATGACATATATCACAAAATGCTTAAAGTAAAAGTATAGTTTGGGTTTTCTCCGAAGATAGGCTGGATTTGATATAATTTTTACTTGCCATCATCTCTTCTTTACTGTGCCTCTCTTGTTCATATGCTATTCTTGTTGAGCTGCTTTTTATTATTTGTGGTTGCCTTTGCACCTCAGTGGGCTAAATGAAATGCTTCATGAACTGTGCAAAAGTGAAAGTGATTTCTATCAGTGAAACAGAAGATTTTAAGAGAGAAGGTCTTTTTTGTACAATTGTTTTAGTGATGAAATTTCTATTTCATTGTGGTTGAATCCATAAAATATTTGAAATCAACATGGACATACTGAAGAGGAGCTATGCTACATAGAATGAGTCATGTTTGCAATTATAATACTGTATACTTCTTATGGAACTCTATTGCATAGACCTGTGCAAAGTGACTAAGATTGGCTTTGCCAACATGATTAAGGCAGTCTGCTTGGTTTTGCTAAAGTGAAAAGGCCATTCCGGTTGTTTCAGTGAAATGGTTTGAATGCCTTGAATGATTTTTAGCCAGCACTTATCAGGAAAGTCTCCGCTCAGCTATGCCCCTTGTCTACCTCTATTGCTGCCTACTAGCCTCCGTCTATCCAGACTGATAGCATCAGGCCATCATATACAGGTAAGATTGGAGTAGGGCATTTCTGACTAATGCGTTGCAGGGGATTTGAACATATATGTTTTTAAAATATTTTGTTTAACATGAATAGAATGGATTATACCTAAGAAACTGTCTCAGATGCTTTCAATACTGCCAATCATGATATACTTCTGACTCATCTCAGTATTGGGAGTTTGGAGGCATGGTTTTGTAGACTTTCTTCTTTCTCTGTGGTCAAATCTAGTTGCTGGGGGGAGGGAGATATGAAGTCCCACATGCCTAATGTGTGTGGTCTCTTCGAGGTCTTATCCACCCCCTTTTTAACATCTACATGAGATTGTTAGACAAGGTTAACTTCTTTTTAGATCAAATATCATCAATATGTTGATGATAGCCATTTATAACTCTCAACTTCAGGCTGATCAGATGATGTTGTCAAAGCCTTGTCCCATTGTCTCGAGGCTGGGTGGGTGGGGCACATGGAGAGGAACACATTCAAACTCAACACTGACAAATTTGAGTAGTTGTGGAGTTTTGAATCATATCAGGAGTGCTGTGCAATTTGCTTGAGAAGCAGGTGGCAGCTGTAGTTAAAAGAATCTTCACCAAATCCATCTTTAGGGAGAACTGTGCTCCCACCTGGAGTAGAGGGCTTTCAGACAGTCACTCATGATTTGGTCACCTCATGTATGGAGTATTGCAATATACGTGGGATTTTTCTTGAAAACAATTTGGTAGCTGCAGCTGTTCCAGAATGCAGTGTCACATGTTATGGACATGTCGCACCTCTGTTTCATGGCCTACATACTGGTTATGGGTACAATTCAAGCTGCTTGTTATAAGGCCCTTCTTGGCATAAGTCCTGATTATCTGAAGGACCATCTATCTTTCATAGTTTCTACCTATCTTCATTGATCAGAAAGTGACATGTTTCATGTTCTATCCATTAACCAGTGTCATCTGTTGGGATCTAAGACATATGTCTTCGGTTTCACAGTACCTGCCCTCTGAAATAGCTTTGCCCCTGACATTGGCTGGCTGCCATCCTTCTCATGTACAGGTAGTCCTTGCTTAACAATGGTAATTTGGACCAACAGCTCCAGTGCTAAATGGACCAGTCATAAAGTGCAACATCATGTAACTGCTGTGACTTAAAACAGCAGTTTTAGCAATCCCAATTGCCATAATCAAGCTAATTGTGCAAATTGCAGTATCCTACTATTATATGAACACCATTTCTGACCTCCTGCCAGCTTCCTCATTAACTTTGTTTATCGAAAGCTGGTAGTGAAGATTGCAAGTGATGATCATGTGACCACAAGAGGTTGTAACATTGTAATTGCAAGTTGGTTGCCAAGCATCTGAATCACCATTGATTCATTGACCATTGATTCATTCATTCATTCAATGATCAATGATCATTGATCATTGATTCATTGACCATGGGGAAGCTGTGAATAGCTGCAGCCATGACAATCCCCCTTGTTCAGTGCTGTTGTAACTTTGGTTGCTGAATGAGTAGTTGTTCAATGAAGAGTACCTTTAGAGTTTAGTGCCTTCAAAACCTGGTTCTTTTGCTAGACCTTGCATTAAACTGGATAGAGGATGGTACTATTTATAGGATAAATAGATTTTTTCTTTTCTGAACGCCTATTTTATGTATTATTAGTTATGATTTTATTAGTGTATACTGTCTCAGTCATTATAAATATAATAAATCAATGTATCTGCTAATCCAGCAATAAATAAATAATTTGAATTATTACTACTTTTATTGGGTGTTTTGTGTTCTGCTGTTAAGAAAGTACACAAACATGTCATGTTCAAATAATGTCTTTGAATTTTTAATTTAACTATTCAGATATAGTAAATTGAAATCTTACATAGTTGATCCTTTTTATATATACAACATTTACCATTCAAAATTAGGAACTTTATTACTAGTTATCAGTCACAATTTATTACTCAAAACAGTCTTCCATCTTCTAAAGATGCTGAAGGTGATAATAAAAAAATGAGAATTCATTTTTTTTGGTAGTTATCTAATTAAAAAACCAAACAGATTAAAAAAATAACCTTAATTGAGTTGGGTCAAAGATTTGGCAGAATAAAAAGAGCATGAATAAAAATATTGTGAGGGAGAAGCAGGTGGATCTCACAAAATGGATTCTATTACAAATGTGGTCCTTTTTTATCGCATGGCTGTATCATTAAAATTATTAATGAAAAGAAGCATAAAACATGTATATGCTACTGTAGATAATTATATCCAATTTTGAAATATAATAATTTAAATAATTCATTACATCTCACCATACTGGGGGTGGCCGGATAAAAATATTTTCACTCAGTCTGTTTTCCAGATGTAATTGTGGATGGGCAATTCCAAAAATCACCTTCTCATATATTTTTGTGCACATGCGGTTCTTAGCCTGAACTAGCAACAACCCTGGACTTGGACAAGCAACATTTCAAAGAACATAAGAACAGCTTTGTTAGTTAAGGCCAAGGCCATCTTAATTAAGCATTTTGTTTACCATAGTGGCTAACCAGATGCAGGAAATGGAGGCATATCTTTTCTCCCATAGTTATTATTCTGTGCTTAATATTTGGAGGAAAATTGCACCAAACTAGAGATAATTCTGTTTTTAAGAATGGTAGTCCTGAAGATAATCAACTTTATAAAAAGTATAAGGACCTCCTTAGAATTGGAAATATGCCTAGTATATTCTGCTGATCTAACATAATTTTGGGGGAAAAAAATTAGAGCATAATCCAGAACCTCCTCTACTTATGTCAATGGACAGACATGATTATATGGAAAGAATTATGATAGCTCTTTATCAAACCATCTAGTCTTTGAAATGCTACTTCAACCATTTCAGTTATGATTGGCAATGTATCAGAAACTATACTTTTATCTATAAACTGCCCAGAAAACATTGTGAGTGAGATATCTAAATTAGGTAGGAAGGTAGGTAGGTAGGTAGGTAGATGATAGATGGATGGATGAATGGATGAGTGCAATAGCATTGGATTAATTAACAAAACATTTTAAATTGCTTTCAAAACATAAGGCAGATGGTTCATTCAAGATTTTAAATTATAGTCTAGATCTTCAAATTTATTTGTTGTAATTATTATTATGGTTACTGTTGATTCTACAATTAGCTATCCTACATTTTATTCTTTCAGCTCTTTTTGCACAGCTTCCTTGATACTATAATAAAATTCTTAAATTGCTAAAATAGATATATGATTTGCTTGATTAAACATTAACAAAACTATTCATTTTATATATCTCAAGTATTAAAATGATGTATATGTGGAAGTAGCTACTGGCACTACTCAAAATGTCATACTTTTTTCACGTAAGTAAGAAACTAATTTCAGAATAAAAAAGCATATTTGCTCTTGTGTCAGTCCAAGGGGAAAGCTAAGTCATTTCTTATGAAAAGATATGATGTTCACTCAAATTAAATTTGTGATTCTAAAGTCCTCTAGGGGTCAACTGAATAGGAGTTCAGTTAGATATGTAATTAGTTGATTATGCGTCATCAATTCAGTAGTATCTATAAGTAACTATATAGATAAACTTTCTCCAGGATGATCTGCCTCTAACCTGACTTTTCAGATTTTCAAAAAATGCACCCAATGCCACTATAAAAGTATACCCAGCTTGCTGCTAATTCAGCTCTTATTCTCCTGCTTTCCATTTTTCACAACATTTTGGATTTTTCAAGGGAAAAATCCAATTGCATAAAATGCCCAGAATATTTCTGCCTAGTCATTTGTGCCTTCAGTTAGAACTCTAGAATTTGTTCAGTGATCCTTTAGTTTAAATTCTTGGCTACTCGTGGTATTTTCAGGTGGTTTTTCCAATACCAAACTTCAAAAGATCAATATATTTTCTATCCTAAGTATATAGAAGTATATATTTCTATCTTAAGTATTTACATCAATTGATCTAAATATCTTTTCAAAGCTTTCATTGCATTCCTACCTAGCACTAGTCTATGGTGTAGTTCTTGACTTTTTCACAGAGTAGTCTTCAAAAACAGAAGCTATCGGTATGAATTTTAATTCTGGTTGCTTTACCTGTTCTCATTGCTTTAGTTTTCTGTATCTTAAATATTAATGCCATTTTTCACAGCATACCCTGTCTTTTATTACCAGACAACCCAGATTATTCGTACCTTCAGTTATCAGAGTAATGTCATCAGCATCGTTCAGGTTTTTGATCAGCTGAGTCAGCTAAATTATGACACAATTTATGACAGATGCATAAATCTGTCTTTCTTTTTTGCTTTCTCTTATTGAATCCCTTTCTGATATCCATATTGTAGTACTTTAATCTTTAAATGGATATAAACAAGAAACACATATAACTGTGATTAAGAAGTATGACTGACTGATTGGTTGATTGATTGATTGATTGATTGATTGATTGATTGATTGATGTGGGCCAATATGCTATAGTAGTTAGAGGATCTGATTGGAAAGATTCCAATTCTTATCCATTTCCTATTCTAATTCATTTCCTGGGACAGCCTTATATCAGGTTCTGTTTTATCTTAACCTACTTCAGAAGCTGCTTCAAAGGATAAGGCTATATAGACTATATTAAATTTAATGGTAGAATGGAAGATTATGAATATAATAAATAAAATACTCCACATTCAGGACATGTTGCTACTGCTGATGACAATGATGACAACAAGGACAAGTGCTTCAATACCTTGAAAAACATTTAAAAATTGATTATAGGTTGTAAAATATGTCATGGTTCAAAAGCATTTTTTTAAAATGAAGATGCCTAATAATAGAAGTAGCTTTTCCAATGAGATGTGAAATGAGAGGTCTGATGAGGTTGGGGGACACAACTTAAAAGAGATTCTATGTTTATGTTTGTGTGTGTATGTTTTCTAGGAATTGTGATGGAGAAACATGTACGGACACGAGTGATATCTTATATGCTTGGGCAAGAAATGCACCACCAACAAGATTGCCAAAAGGTATCAGATTTTTTGTGATATAGTATTCTACACAACATGTAATAATAGAAAAAGCCATTTAGTGCACTAATTTCTATATTACTCTAATAGTAGTGAATATTTTTATTCAAATAATTAGGTTTTCAGAGAATGAAATTGCTCACTTAGCAATTTACTATAAAAAGGGGTGCTTGGGAATTCTCTCCCCCCCCACATCTTTTTTACTTTTAATGTACAGCTGAACACATTAAATAGTGCATCTTCCTGCTGATTTTTTTTTTTTTTAACTGCAGTTGCCAATACCTTTTATGGCTAATACATTATAAAATATTAGTAAATCTATTTGGCTTGCAGCAGGATATGTCAAAAATATTTTCAAAATGAGGGTGATTTTTAAAATCTTATAACAGTTTCCATATTTCCACATTATAAACAAATAAAAATAAATAAGTAAATCAGATATGAACCAGGATATCTCACACGTACTTTAGGGATAGCTTCTTCAGAGAATATAAATGCAAAATGTTGCATTGTATCTTAAATCTTTAAAATAATATGCTCTTTATTTTAGTTTTTTTTTTTCCTTTAAGAATATGCTTGAATATGATAAAGTGAGTTCACCCTTTCTTCCCTCTGAAGGTGTTGGGTTTAAAGTTGGAGGAGAAACAGGGAGCAAATATTTTGTTCTCCAAGTCCATTATGGGGATATTGGTGCATTCAAAGGTATGTAAAATCTTTACTCTTGCTGTTATGAGTAAGATAAATAAATGTGCCTGCTATGAAATGGCAGAGCTTCTTTTATTAAATTTAGAATAAATCTTTCAATAGACTGATAGATTTCCAAAATTATTTTGGTGGAACACAATGGAAGTTTTCTAACTGGTGATAGTTCCAGTCTCTGTCCTCATATTTCACTGCATAATTGAGAATGAACAAGTCTCAATTTTGAATACTAGTTAACATGGCCTCTTCTGAGATCCATAAACACATAATCCTTGAGGATTTCCACTGAAGTTCTTGAGATTCTTCCTGCTATCCTCCTCCATATTAAGATTTGGGCAGGCAGGAGAGATAATACCAAGAATATCTCCTTAGAACTAGGGCAAAATGAATCAATTTCATGTTAGACTCAGTAAATTTAAATAACCTTTTTTTTAAAGGAAAGAATTAAATTTTAAGTACCCATTATAGTACTTTCCTTTTTTCAATCTTTTCTTTTTAACTAGTCTTCTGAAATCATGATGGTAGACTAGGAATCCTCAAACTACGGCCTGCGGGCCAGATACAGTCCACCGAAGCCATTAATCCAGCCCACGCGGGACCAAGAAGCTGCTCCGCCCGCATCACCCACCCTACCCACCGGCCCCCACTCGCCTTCTGTAGGCCGAGGAGACCAAAACTGGGACGTCCAGAGGCCTCTGGAGGCCAAAAACAGCACCATTTTTGGGCGGCAGAGTGGTAATGGAGGCCGAGGAGGCCAAAAACGGGCCCATTTTTGGCCTCCTCGGCCTCTGTAGAGAAAGAGAAAGAGGGAGGGAGGGAGAGAAAGAGAGAAAGACACACACACAGACACACACACACACACACACACAAACAGAAGTCACTCATACCTCCCCCCAAGGCAGCCACATCCCTTCACTAACCTGCTTTCTATCCCCAGGAGCATAACAAATTAAAGTTTAATTTGTGTATTGTTTAATGGACTGCTAAATTGGCCATGCTCACCCAGTCACATGATCACTTAGCCAAGCCTACTCAGCCAGTCCGGCCCCCCAACAGTCTGAAGGACCGTGAATTGGCTCCCTGTTTAAAAAGTTTTAGGACCCTGTGGTAGACTAATTACATTGAATAAAATAAAATGGATGTTAAATTAAGAAAAGGTTATGCTTATTCACTATATTTCTGTTAGTGTCTAGAAAAAAACTATTTCAGTTTTTTCAAATATTATAGACCATTTTGGTAGTTTGTTCATGTAAATCTCACAGTTGTGACAGCATGCCATTGCAGTACATTCCAGTAATGATTGTATCTTGTGTCTGTGGGTTTTAGCAAGTGAAAATGGATTCTGATTTATAAATGCCAAGGAGCTCTTTTTGATAAGCGCAGCAAATCAGTAATTCATAGTAACTATTGTTAGCTCAGTTGAAATTAATTTAAACTGCACTTTGATAATATTTTGTAGATTACTTATCTTCCCCTTACTTATCTTCTCTTGAAGGCTAAATTGAAGGCATTGGGGAGTTTATAGAAGTCTTTATTATTCTTCGCAACATGTTCTCTGATCCATGTAATTATACCTAGTTAACATATATGTGATTTTCTTCCTCCAAAGTAATCTGATTACTTTTTTCTGTTTATTTTAACGTTTATATTTTATTGTGTATTTAAACAGCTTCAAATTTGTTTATAGTAAAAATACATTCTTATGAAGAGCTTATAAGGGACTGGAGAAATTAGACATTGTTTTTAAACTATGTTAATTTCCACTCTTAGTAAATTTGTTTCACAGCTGATCTTGATTATTCCTGAAAAAATTAGACAATGTTGAAACTGTTATTATTTGAATGGGAAACGGCTAGGAATTTCTTCTAGGCTAGACTGGAAAATTTAACTATTTCCATATAATTGCCATCAGAGATATCACGTCAGTATTTCCAGCTGTTTAATTTAACAAAGTTTGTGATACACAAGACACTATTTCTTTATTCAGGAACTGGTCTTCATAAGATTCATTAGGTCTTCATCATAAACTACATTGGCAAAACTTCAAAAGAAGAACAAAATCCATTGTATTCCTTATCATAAGTATTAACTTAATTAAAAAGATAATTTTGTTTTAAGTGGCCATTTCCTATTTAGATATATTGACTCTTTCCTAATCTTTGAAATGTGCATTTATAGATATATCTTAGATGTGCATCTACAAGCATTCCTCCACATGCCTTCATACATTATGTAGCAAAAGATGACATTTAAGATAAACTTTTAAGTAAACGTTTTTATCATTTTCTTATTTGTGACTATGTTTGCCCTATATTTTTATCTAGTTTAGAACAGTCAATAACAAATTATTTTTTTATTAAAAAGTTTTATCAAATATTACAACAATTTTTCCCCGTCCCTCCTCCCCTCCCTTCTGTCCTCCACCCACCACCCTTCCCCCATCCCCCCTCTCCCTCCAACCCCCTCCTCCCACCCCGGACTTCCCAGAGCAAATACAGGGTATAACATTTAACAAACATAAATTAAAATATGCTAGCTTTTTGTAGGCTCTTAATTCCCTCTTGCTCTTTAACTCCCCTTTAACTAACAAAACATAATTCAAAAAGAAAAAGTTAATTTCATTCATAAGCTAATTGAAGCTTTTTAGTCCGATATTTGTTTTGAATATAGTCAATCCATCTTCTCCATTTCGATATATATCTTTCATTTGAATGGTCCTTCAAATACGCTGAAATTTTGGCCATCTCTGCTAAATTCACTACATTTAGTGTCCATTCTTCAATAGTAGGTAAGTCTTCCTTCTTCCAATACTGCACCACCAAAAGTCTGGTTGCTGTTATTAAATTTAAAATCAACTTAGTCTCTATAACAGTACAATCTGTAATTATACCTAACAAGAAGAACTGTGGAATAAATTTTATCTTCTTTTTGAGAATATTTTGAATAATCCACCATATTTTTATCCAAAATGCCTTAATTTTTTTATATGTCCACCATAAATGATAATACGTGGCATCATCACATTCACATCTCCAACACTTGGGTTGCACACTTGGATACATACAGGCTAGCTTTTTAGGATCTAGATGCCATCTATAAAACATTTTATAAAAATTCTCTCTTAAGTTTTGGGCTTGCGTAAACTTCACATTTCTAACCCATATTTTTTCCCACGTTTACATCATTATTCATCATTATTGGTTCTTCAATATTTTGTGCCCACTTTATCATACAGTCCTTAACTAACTCCGTTTCTGAATCTATTTCTACCAATGCATTATACAACCTTTTTATATGCATTTGACTTTGATCTCTAATCTGTTTTACCAAATTCTCCTCATTTTGCAAAATACCAATTTTCTGATCTTCTCTCCATCTAGCTTGCAGCTGTACGTATTGAAACCATGTTTGAATTATCCTGTCTTCTCTTAGTTGATTCAAAGATTTTAGTTGTAGTATACCTCTTTCCTTGTTAAGAAGCTCTTTGTATGTAATCACATCTTGTTTTTGCTCTATACTTTTATTCTCTATCGCGTGTCTGGGTATTGCCCACATTGGTAACTTCTCATTTAATTTATACTTATACTTTTTCCAGACACGCAATAAAGCATTCCTTAATATGTGACTTTTAAAAGTCTTATCCACTTTCTTATCATATAGTAAATAAGAATGCCACCCGTAAATCAAATCATATCCCTCAATATTCAATATTCTTTCTTCTGTTGAGTTCATCCAATCACTCATTGCTGATAGGGCAGTTGCCTCATAATATAGTCTTAAATTGGGCATTTTGAGACCTCCTCTTTCACGTATATCCTGCATTATTTTTTGTTTTATTCTTCCCTGCCCAGACAAAATTATTAATACCCTTCTGCCATATCTTCAAATTTTCATCTTTTTTAAGTATTGGTATCATTTGAAAAAGAAACAAAAATTTAGGCAAAACATTCATTTTTACTGCTGCTATTCTTCCTAACAAGGATAATTGTAATTTTTTCCAGTTTTCCATCTCTCTCTGTATTTTTTGCCACAACGGATCATAGTTATGCGTGAATAATTTCACATTTGATGTCATAATATAAACCCCCAAATACTTAACTTTTTTGGGGTTAAAGTAACAACCAAATCATCTGCGAATGCTCGTACTCTGTAATCATACTGCCTAATTTTAATTCCATTTATTTTGTCCGACCCACGTATCTTACTCAACAAAAATTCCAAAGTCAAGATGAACAATAATGGAGACCAGGGACATCCTTGTCTTGTTTCTTTTTCTATATTAAAAGTATCTGTTAAACTACCATTAATTATTATTTGCGCTGTTTCTTTCTGATATATTGCCTTAATAGATTGTGTAAAATATGCTCCAAACTGCATATTTTCTATTGTTTTCAATAAGAAATGCCAATTCAATCGATCAAATGCTTTCTCCGCATCAAGAAATATTAGCACCGCAGGGCTTTGGTTGTTCTTCCCCAAATACTCTAATAGGTTAACCACTTGCCTTACATTACTCTTCATTTGTCTACCATTTAAAAAACCAGTTTGATCATTATGAATCATTTGTTGCATGACTGTCATTAACCTATTTGCTAGTATTTTAGCAAAAATCTTGTAATCTGTATTTAAAAGTGATATAGGCCTATAATTTTTTGGCTGAGTGTGGTCTTGCTCCTCCTTTGGAATCAGAGAAATAAAAGCTGTCTTCCAGGATGGGGGTACATCTCCTCCAGATTGTTTGTTGATAAATAATTCTTTGAGTGGTCCCACCATTTCTAACTGCAAGTGTTTATAATAAGCAGCTGTCAAACCATCCGTCCCAGAGGCTTTACCCACTTTCAACTGCTTAATTGCAAGCATGATCTCTTCAGAAGTTATTGGTTGATTTAAACCCTCCCTTTGCTGTCTTGTAATTATAGGAATATTCTCTTTCTGTAAGTATCTATCTACATCTATACTTTGAATTTTATCACTAGCATACAACCTCGTGTAAAATTCTAAAAATGCTTTTTTAATCATGTTTTGCTGATAAATCTCTTTACCTTTATATTCTATTTTCTCTATGGTCCGTGACTTTTGTTTTTTTTCCTTAACATATATGCTAACCATCTCCCTGGTTTATTAGCATTGCAAAAAGTATTATGTTTAGCATATTGCAAATTAGTTGCGACCTGATCTGCCATTAACATATTAAATTGCCCTCGCAGTAAGTTAATTGCCTCTCTTTTTTTTTTTGTCTGCTGGGTTCAATATCAAAGCTTGTTCTTTTTTTTAAATTTCCTCTTCTAAGTCCTTCCTTTTTTTTCCCTGTTTACGTCTATGTTTATTATTCAAATATAGCAAAATACCTCTCATATATGCTTTACTTGCATCCCAAACCATTTTCATAGATGTACCCTTATGCATATTTATAATAAAAAATTCTTTCATAATTTTTTTGCATTCTTTTACATTTTCCTCATATCTAAACAGATTTTCATTTAACCTCCAAGACCTCTTAAATACCATTCCATACTCTAATTCCATCCAAACTGGACTATGATCCGTTAAAACTCTTGGGCAGATCTTCGTCTTCTTCACCCTAGAAAAAAGATCATTAATAATTAATATGAAATCAATCCTAGATAAAGATTGATGTCTATCAGAGAAAAAAGTAAAGTCTTTTTCTTCAGAGTTCCTCTCTCTCCAGATATCTCTCAACTCCATATCATCCATCATTTCAAAAAACGATTTTGGCAATCTAGCACACGTTGAGATATTTTGCAAGAACCCCTTCTTATCTTTTTTAGTGTCCAACACTCCATTCCAATCACCCAATAAAATGCATGATTTGTAATCCCATTGTAGTAACTTGGAATGTAAAAGCTTATAAAATTTTTCCTGCTGTTGGTTCGGTGCATATACTCCAATTAAAAGTATTTTTTCTCCTTTTATTAAAAGTTCAATTGCTAAAAATCTTCCTGGATCATCTGCTTCAATTAATTTGGCAATTAAGTCTTTTTTTTAGGTATATAACTATACCATTCTTCTTCTCGGGAGCAGATGCAACAAAATGTATACCTAACCTTGCATTTATTAAATATTTTTGATCTTTACTTCTAATATGAGTGTCTTGTAAACAGATTACATCATTTTTAAACTGTTTCAAATAATGAAATATTTTTCTCCTCTTTTGTGGTGAATTTAGGCCATTAACATTCCAAGTCAGAAATCTAGTTGCCATTCTTGGCTGCCTGAAACTTTTGGAGCATCTGCTGGAAATCTCCATGCATTTTACTTTTTGGTCTTGCTCCTCCCACTGCTTCTGTTTTTTTAGTTTCTTGAATCATCTATAGTTGCTGCAGTCTTAATTCTTCTTGACGCTTGGCTGCCGTTCGGGTCTGTCTTTGATCCTTAGGTTCTTCTATTTTGTCGAACACCTCCAAAGCTTGAGCAGTAGTTGAAAGTTGTATTAAATCTTCTTGAGTAATCAAAGCTCCCCTTTGGGCCTGTGCCAACGATTCTTCCTTCTCCCCCTTTCTTGCCCCCTCTGCTTCTGTCTTCCTTCTAGCTTCTAGGGACTGGGGGCATCCAGCCTTTAGTACATTGGTGTAAAAATCTCTTGCCTTCCACACTGAGTTAAGACGATATCTTTCTCCTGAATAGTTCACCACTAGTCCAGCTGGAACCTCCCATCTGTACTGTATCTGATGGTTTCTCAGTCCTTCCACCAGAAAGGCATAATCCCTTCTGGCTCTCAACATTTTGGGGAGGGATTTCTTTCAGTATTAAAACCTCCTGTCCCTGCACTTGAAGTTTGTTTTTAAACTTGTAAGATTTCATTGCGTATTCTCCTTGTTGTAAAATAGACTACAATGTCTCTTGCTAGATGTTTCTGTCTGGCAACCCATGAATTGACACGGTAAATTTTGTCAATTTGCCATTCAAGATTTGCTTTTTGATCTCCCATTATCTGTGTAAATGCTTCTGAAAAGATCTCTCTCAAATTCTCTTGCTTATTTTCTTTGAGGCCTCTTATTCTCAAAGCAAATTCCATATCTCTATATTGTATCATTATCACATCGGCCTCAGGTCTTTCCATCTTATTCTGCACCTCTCCCATTTTATTTTCCAAGTTCTCATTAGACTGCTTAATTTCTTCCACTTTTTCACCTATTGCTTCAATATGGCCTGCCAGACCTTGAACTGCCATGATAATATCTTCTCTAATTTCTTGATTTCGTTTTTGAATAATCTCTTTAATTTGAACTATCTCCTCAGCAACATCTCGAATTTTATCCTCAAACACCGCAGTAATTTTTTTTTCTATAACAGAGGCTTGTATTTTAAGGGCTTCCTGCAACATTTCAAGTGTTAATATTGATGGTTCCGTTGGAACAGAGAGAGATTGCAATTTAGACGTTTGAGCTGGCGAGCTCCCAGCACTTTTGGGGACCATAGCCTTTATTTGGTTTGAAGCCATTTTTAGTTTCCAATTTGAATTTATTTAGCAGCCAGAACAACAAATCCACCAAATCCCAAAATTCCCAGTCTTTAAATAATATCAATCCTTTTTTTAAAAAAAATCACTGCTGTAGTCTTTTTAGCTTTTAATCTTTTTTTTTAAAGCAAAAATCTCTAATTTTTGAACAGAAGCTACCAGCGCTAAACAAAACTTTCCTTTTTAACTTTTGCTTTCACGCCCCATTAAAGCTCAATCGCCATCTTGGTTTCACTTTCTTCCCTTAATGAATCAGAAGGAAGTAATACACATTTGGAGTTAAAGTTCAGTACTTGCAAATCTGATCTCTCCTGAGTTTGCTCAGCCTGCTTCCGAATGATGTTTATTCCAAGCGTTGTTTGCAGGGGTGGTTGCAGCGTCTTCTTCTGCTTAAAGCAGAAACGTCCCGGATCCGGAGCTCTGTCGGGCTTCCAGGGAGCTCTCACCCTTCGAGCCCCAGAATTGTTCCTGGGGTTCCTTGGGAAGCTCTACCTACGCCCGTCTACTCTCTTCCTCCCCTTTTCCCGGGGAGAAAGTTTTCAAGCTGCTAGACAGCTGATTTGTGCTGTTCTAGCGGCTTTACGAGATTGCAGGGCTGGCGCTCGCAAAAGGAGCGTCTTTGGCGCCTGCGGTGCCACCGGAAGTCAATAACAAAATATTTTTTAATTATTAACATTAGGTACATTTATCACCACTTCCATGTGTAATATTTCACAAATAAGTCAGGAATGGAAAATTGGTTTCTATTTCTTCTGGGCTTTTTAAAAAACATAACCATGGTACAATAAGTAGGTTTTAGGATTTTTTTAGTTTTATAAACCTTTAATGTATCGTTTGAGTGGCAGTTACCATTTATTTTTTTTTTAGTGATCAAAGAATCAGGAGCTGATACTCCTATCACAATGGATTTTGCTATAGAGACTCTGCAGTTCAGAAGTGCTATTAAATCCACAGTAGTAAGCATAGATTCTTGTTTGATCTCTGTTGGAAACGCTGCCTAGAGAATCAGCTTGAAAGAAATCTGCTTCCGAGAGTAGGTTGAATATATTTTCCTCTCATTGCCATAGGGCAAATAGAAGCTAATAATTCATTTGTTCTAAAGGAATATATACTTGCTGTCTAACTGAAATGCAAAAATCAAAGGAGTTATCGTAGACTGAGAGGCAAATGGGGACGAACATACGCTCTATAAGGATCATTGTGTTCAGGCAACCCATGTAGCGTATGTAGTACTTGCCAAGAAAGGAAATTTTATGATCTTGTTTTTTTTCCAAGACAAAATTGGTTAGACATTTCCATTTTTGAAAATCGAGGTATAAGAACAAAAAAAGAGAGGTCCATATGTTTGAATTCTGTTAGAAAGTTTGTACATCATATGTATTTAATATAGGAGTATGTTATTTGCAAAAAAAAAAAGACCTATTTGTTACGCAAAGCTGAAGTTTTTATTTTGCTTTAGTACACCAGGCAATTTTTCTGAAGTACAGTATATAGCTATATAGATTTAAAGGGAGCAATTATTTCCCCGGGGTTTCGCTTGTGATGTTTATTCTCATATTGTTTTTATTTACTACAGATGAAAATGTGATAATGGTTGCTTGTGAATTCTATAATCTTATATAGTTTGGGGTGAAGTAAATTTCAGATTCTAGCAATTACATATCATTTTACCTCCTTAGAAATCCCCTGCAATGCTGTTTTATAAACTGTCGATTTCTGCATTTGATTTGAATTTTTTTAATGAATCAAGAATTGAAATATATGAATGTTTTGTATAAGACCATTGAATCTGGAATGCATGTAGAACATTCTCTATTCCAATGCGGTTTCTGTTTTTCTTGTACCATCTGCCCTTTCTGGATCAGCAATGCCTGACTAGATCTAGAAAAACTATCCAGTTCTTTGCTTGGCTAAAGATAATGAGTTGTTCTTGGCAAATTGTAATCAGTCAGTGGAACATCTTTGACTTAGTAAAATGAAAGCAAACTACTTCACAGGATTGTTTTAGGATGAAATAAGAATGGTTATAATGTGATCTGTATTTTCTAAAAGGAATTCTAATTTTCCATACCTCTGTAATGATCTTCCTTACTCATTTGTTTTTTTTAAGCTTTTCTTTAACTAGCAACTGTTTATTTTCCAGCTATTTAAAGTATTTTGTGTAGAAACTATTGTCTCTTAAAGCAATCCATATGGTTAAAAGATGAGGAGAGCTACCAAAATGTTTATAGTTTAAAATGACAAGAAGCCCAAAGGAGGGGACTAAAGAAAAGGTTTTTTAATTCCCTCTTTTGGCTTCTTGTCTTTTTAGACTATAAACATTTGGTCTTCATACTTGATATTTCCAATAAGCAATTATCTAGTCATATACTTAATTATTGTACTCAATACTAATATTTTATTTTTGCAGATAAACACAAAGACTGTTCAGGAGTGACTTTACAGTTGACTAATCAAAAGTAAGTATATTTCATGTAGTTTCTTAAATATTTTTTCCAATTCTTTTGCAAAGATTAATATGAGCTTTAACAGAATAGAATTCTAGTGATAGTCCAGGTACATCCTGTAAACAAGACAGATTATTTAATGAATACATTCTTCAAAGTGACTTGATAATATATTTCTAAAATTGTAGAAAGGCTGTTTTGAGCAAAGTACATTTGTTGTCTTTTCTATCTTGAAAAATAAATGTTTGACTTTTTCACATGTAGCCAAAGTAAATATTCCTTGGAAAGGATTACCAACTACTACTTTTTTTATCTTTAGCTTTCAGTGGTAAGAAGTTTATTTAGCACAAATCTAGTTACTTTTTGCTGCTTGATTATGAATTGTTCTTTAACCGCAGTTTCTTTAATTATAAAACATGGCTTGCTTGTTTCATTTTCCCCCTCAGTTATGCCACCGTCTCTCCTGCCCCCATGCAAAGAGGATATTTGGCTTTATATGCATTCGTCACATTTAATTTTCTTTTCACCTGCAGTTAACTAATCCATCAACTAATGGATTCATTTATCTTCATTTGAGATGGGGGTTAAGAGGAGTCTATGTAAACATTTATTTCTTTAACATATCCACTTCCAAGCAGTGTTGTCATTGTACAAGAATAAAACAGAAAAGAAACCTACCCAATCAGCAACAGATGATGGTTAACCCAGAGAGAACACCCCACATTCTTCCAATACACTTACATCGTCATCTTAAGCCAAAGTCTGGAAAGAGATCACGTTTTCTAAAATAGAGCAGGGTGGGGGGCCTTGACCTCTGGGGGTATGCTATTCTAGAGGGCAGATGCGTTGTGAAAGGAGGTAGGTTGGGGGGGAATCTATCTGCTGATACTTTGACTGTGAACAAGAGCTGTTTGAAAATAACATAGGTTATTGACACAGAAATGGAAAAAAATATTGATGCGACCAATTAGTTATCAGGGAGAATGCTTACTGGCCAATAAAGAACCCTGAAAGACTATTTTAATTCTTAATCTTTTCCCCCATGGTGAATGCCAAAATGTCTTTTAAAACTAGCTTATAATCAATCTGGGAAAAGTGGATACGTAAGCCTTGTAGACCAGTGAGTTGTGACTGCTTTACAATTAGTAAATTTACAATTTGCTTACAATTAGTTGTAAGTCTCAAATTAAGAATTGTATGCCATATATGTGGGAGCCATGACACTTGTGATTGTCTCACTACAAAAGGTGTAAAAGCTTCATACCTCCCTACTATAAGTGCATTATATTTGTTTAATAGTTTTTCTGACTTTGAGTAACTGTCCATAAACTCTTTGTTGTGTCAGTATATAAAGATATGTATACTGGTTTTGAATTTTTAAAGGTGCTACTGTATATGTAGCTGTTAATAGCTGTTTTCTTTTTATAAAAAAAACAGCAAACCGATTGGGTCGATTCAGTTAAACTTACCTTGTTATTAGCAAAGTAATATATAACGTAGTAATTAATAAAACAGGGCAATATATGTAAATTTGATACAGGTTTCTTCTTTTTCTTTCAAAGGCAGCCTCTGATTGCTGGCATGTATCTTATGATGTCCGTGGATACTGTTATACCACCTGGAGAAAAAGGTGAATAAATAAGTTTTCCTGTCCACCCAGCCCTGCCTCAGCCTTTGCACTCTTTTCAGTTCAAACAGTGTACTGTGTGGACTTTTAATACTAAAAGCTTTATTAGAAGAATGTTAGAACAAATTAAGATACTAGTTTCTTTGATTGCCATATCAAAACATCAACATTGCAGTCTAAGAAAAAGTATCAAATTCTGATCATTACTGACTTCTAAATACATGTTTTTATTATTATCACTTAGGGACTACAGGGCTGTATTCCTTTAATCAGTACTTTTTCCAATTTTCCAATTAATGATGGAAATATACATAATGCACTTGTACTCAAACATAAAGGCTGCATCACTAAATTCTAATGCTTTAGGTAGTTATTTTAGTTGTAAGTCATCATATTCATTCTCTATGAATTTCCACACATACATGTACAGAGAAATTAATGAGCCTCCTAAATATTTCAGCATAACCAAGGAACAAATCATACAGTATGCAATATACTAACTTTAATTTCTCTTAATTATTACCCAAGTTTCACAATAGACTATAACTTCCAGTTAATATGGCTCAGCTTAAGGCTTCTTTGTCTCATTGGCTGCAAGCAAAAGACCAAAGATTTTCACTTCCATGATTAAGTAACCTTATCATGGAATCCAACTTTGAAATTATACTTAATATTTACAGTTATTTTCTGAATCAATTTAGTTTCATAGGTTTTAATTCTCTTTGTTACACTGGTTGTTTCCAGATTTGTTGAAATCTGCAGCCTCTTCCCCGTTTTTCCCCTACTTTTTCTAATTATGGACTCATAATTCTATAATACTGAGGGTTTTTAAAACTTCAAAACAGGATATTTTGCCAGGAAATATCTGTTTAACATTATCCCTCAAACCAGCTGATATAATTCCATGTATTTGTGGATTGATTACATGACTCTGTAAGGTAAGAACAGTATTATGCATATGAATATATGCATGCATGTTTCTTCAGTTAATCAAGCACAATAGCCATTAATATCATTGCATGAATGAAAGACTGTGCAAAGTTATTGTGGATAAATGCAAGGAAATTTTATGCCTACAGTCCTGTTGGTATTAGTATATTTCCATATATTTCATTTAACTTTGCAACCATAGTTCTAAATGTCTTCAATATGTAAGCATAATTTTTAATGACCTTCATATCTGTTTTCTAACAGAGGTTAATGCTGATATTGCTTGCCATTATAAAACATATCCAATGCATCCATTTGCTTATAGAGTGCACACCCATCACTTAGGTAAGTCTTTACATTAATTGATTATTTCCTTTCCTTAGTAGTTTAGGCTTAATTCTTATACTCACTTTTTGTTATCCTGATTGAGATAGTAAAGCCTACTGAATGCTACGAGATGGAATTGGCTTATTAATTGTAATGTAAATTATTCTATAATATCTATGTCATGGTTCTGAGTAATGCTCCCAACCAATTCAAGATTCTGAGGCCTTGGTTTCCTCAAAAATCCTGTTTATTGGGTGCATCATATCAGCACAGTCAAATGTGAAACCAACACTGAATAATTCCCACATTTTTGGTATAATTAAAGAATAGATACTGCACCCCCCCCTTGTGTCACAGGTCATGTTGGCCAATCAAGCAGGTGATGAGGTTCTTAGCACTCCCTCCTGTTGTTTCTAGGACATGTTGATCTGGTCTTGGTTCTCCAGAGGCTTATCTTATGTCTTATGTCATCCTACATTCCATAAGTCCCCTCCCCCCCCATAAGTATGGCAACTAAGAAACAAAGCAAGAAAAATATGGCTTCAGCTAGATTTGTTTCAAGACACTGAATCTACACTATACACACAAACTCACGGACATACACACTATACACACAAACTCATGGACATACACACATGCAGATTAATTTTATTTAAACTGAAGAATGTTAGGGCAGGAATCCTCTTAAATACATGTGCTAAGTATCTGGTCCAGATTGGTAGATATTCATATTACTTAGTATGCAGTTTCCATATCTGGGCTGCAAAAATCCAGGTAAACACTAAATAGCAGTAAAGAGATATAATAGTCCACATTTAATGAGGTGCTCATTCAAATTTTTGATGAGATTGAACAAGTGCTATTTATAGTCAATCCTCAAAGTTCCAGCTGTTGTGCACGCCTGTGGTTTTGTGTTCTAGGCACTTGGTAACCAGACTGGATTATTGAATGTCACAGCATTCCACGGTCACATGATCATAATTTGGGACCTTCCCTGCCAACTTTCTGTTAGCCAAGTCAGTGGGAAAGCCAGTCCTGATCACTGTGACTTGTTAAGCGAGGTCCTCACTTAACAACTCACAGAGATTCATTTAACAGTGGTAACTGGAGATTGAACTGCCATCACTAAGCTTTATGACCACGTCACTTAATGATAGACATTTCACCCCCAATTACTGTCATTAAGTGAGGAGTACCTGTACAGAAAATCCAAATTATGAATTTAGTGGATGTTTACACCAGATCCAATTGTCCTAAGTAAAGGAAGCTAATGGTATATGGTATATGAAGCCAAGCGCTCCAAGTGAAATAGTACTTTTGTTAGAGTCAGCCACAAAAATCACTACATAATGAGGTTTTTTTTTTTTTTTTAATTTGATTTATATGCCGCCCTTCTCCGGAGACTCAGGGCGGCTTACAATGCGTTAAGCAATAGCCTTCATACTTTTGTATATTTATACAAAGTCAGCTTATTGCCCCCACAAACTGGGTCCTCATTTAACCTACCTTAGAAAGGATGGAAGGCTGAGTCAACCTTGAGCCTGATGAGATCCGAACTTACAGTAATTGCAGACAGCTGGTGTTAATCACAATGCTTTTAGTCTGCTGAGTTACCAGGCCCGGTAGTTCATTGTTTCATTGTTCATTGTTGTGTTACACTTAAACCATCTCTTCTTGGACTGGTCCAGATTTTTTCTATGAATCCAGTTCTGCCAGTATAAGTTTTAGACAGATGGTACAAATGCCAATTTAACTCTTTTAGATTTTTTTTTACAGTGATTAGGTGATTAAAACTATTGAAAGTGCAGATTTTTTGAAGACAGGTTGCCATATTCAGAAACAATTGTAACATAAAAGTATAAACAACTACTATATAACTGATGCATAATAATACACATTTTGTCCAATTAATTCTGATAGCTCCTTATAAGTTAAATCTATTAAATGTTATATAATAAAATCTTATGTACTGAAATATTAACATAAATATGTGAAAATGATCTGTGGATTTCTAAGGAGTAAATCATATAGAGCAAATATCAATGATCCAAACTTTTAGCATTGTCAATTGATTTAAATGGTGAACTTATAAAGTATTTTTTGTTATTTCTGCATATTTATTTTGCTAAACATATTAATTTTGTTGCAGGAAAAGTAGTAAGTGGGTATCGAGTTAGAGATGGTCAGTGGACACCGATTGGCCACCAAAGTCCTCAACTGCCACAGGTATGTTTACTTGCATTTTAAAGCTATCCTGAGTTAATGTGCTTCACTGTTAAAGTAAACAGCAGAACCATCATGATATAATGATTGAAATGTTGGAAAAGGAATAGGGAAAATAAGGTTCTATACACAGTTTTGAAATGGACCTCCTTTCACAGCCTTACCCATCTCACAGAAATGTGGTGGGAAAATACATTAATATAATAGATAATTTTTTGGGATTCAAAGAAGATATGCTGTTGCATAGTTCATTTGTCAACACGCAGGTGGCTCTGCAGTCTCAGCCTGGATGCAGTTTTTGGTGGACCCTGGTTTTGAAGCTACTCCAGGCTTCATAGCATAGGGCTTGCCAGCAGGTTGTGTCAGCAGCAACAGCTTCTAATTCCTGTCACAGTAGTGTATGGTTTTCCCTCACAGCATCTTTGTAGAACTTGTATGGATGACCTCGAGGTCTCTTCAATCTCCAGTCCACCATAGAGCAACTGGTGAGGCATACTGTAGTGGTCCATTCCAGTGATGTGTCCCACCACTGCATCGGGCCTCTGATAATCAGGGAATCAATGCTGGTGAACTCTGTGCAATTGAAGACCTCCAGGTTGGAGATATGATTTTGCCAAGAGTGAAATGTAGGATGCACATGTGAAATTTGTCATGTGTCATCAGTACAGTATCCAGGACTCACATCCACATAGGAGAGAAAGGGTAACCACAGCTCTTAAGACTTTCAGCTTTGTGGAGAGGCAGACATTGACCTTCTAGATCCCAGAGTCAATTTCTTTGTCCAAGGGCTTTGCTTAAAGACAAAATTAAATATAAGCACATTACCCAATAAAACTATTTTTATTATTACTAATGTCACTAAATCAGTAGTTGCAGATTAAACCTAAAAAAATTAAAACAGCACGTTAGATAAGTAGTTTGAATTGATTGTAACCTTATATAAAACATGGACAAAAATAATGTCACAGGCAGCTATTAATATTCATTAATAATTTCTCAAATGTTTTAGCAGACCTTTTATCTTACATCAGGCTCCAAGATAAAGGAAAATGATGAGCATGACTGAAGAAAAATAGAGACAAAACACTACAGATTTTTTTTTCCTTTTCATACGACAAACATCTGTATCTCTCATTCTGCTTTGCTCACTTCCATATTTGCAGAGGGTTTATGATTAAGCCATCCCAGATATAGATATATATATATTCCATTTTTTTCCCTTATTCATGTAGCCAAATTTTGAGGTAGAAAGACTATTATTTTGTCACTTTAGTCAGAAATAAGCGCCATTATGTTCAGTGAGACAAATTTTCAAGGATAGAATATAAAATGCTATGAAGTGCTCTAATGTTGGTGAAAATAGGGAGCTTGTTTAATACATATATACATCAAACACACACAGACACCTAATGTATATTTAATACGCATGTGAAAAAAATATGGAGGCATACAGAGACTATTTAATATGCAGTCGGGTATCGTTAATATTGCAGTTGATACTAAATGGTATGTATTACTGTATAGTTAAGTACAAATCAAGTATTTCATTTTGGTATTAAATTTGTTTCATCTGATTCTTTTACTGTGTCTATTTTTGGAAAATAGAAAGGAAATGAGGATGGTACTTAGGCACACTGTTGACAACTGACCATAATAGAATATCCCATTTACTGGCACAGAATTACATAAAACTTTATCAGTAAGATTCTAATCATCTAATCAGATTCTAATCAACCTTTTGTCAGGGGGACCTTTTGTCAGGTTCACCTGATTCGCCAGTTGCGGCCCTTTCTTGATCGGGATTCCCTGTGCACAGTCACTCACGCCCTCATCACCTCGCGCCTGGCCTACCTCAACGCTCTCTACATGGGGCTCCCCTTGAAGAGCACCCGGAGGCTCCAACTGGTCCAGAATGCGGCCACGCAGGTAATCACGGGAGCTGCCTGGCGCTCCCATATAACACCGCTCCTGCGTGAGCTGCACTGGCTCCCAGTGGTCTTCTGAGTGTGCTTCAAGGTGTTGGTCACCACCTTTAAAGCGCTCCATGGCATAGGACCTAGTTATCTTCGAGACCGCCTGCTGCTACCGATGACCTCCCACCGACCTGTGCGCTCCCACAGAGAGGCCCTCCTCGGGTGCCATCAGCCAAACAATGTAGGCTGGTGACCCCCAGGGGGAGGGCCTTCTCTGTGGGGGCACCTACCCTCTGGAATCAGCTGCCCCCAGAGATAAGGAGAATCCAAGACCTCAGTGCCTTCCGCCATGCCCTTAAAACTTTCTTTTTACAGCAAGCCGGGCTGGCTTAATATATTTTTTAAATATTTTTAATTGGTTTGTTATTTTAAATTGGGGCCAAATTAATATATATCTTTTTAATTGTTTTTAATGTTTGTATTGTATGTTTTTATCTGGCTGTACACCGCCCTGAGTCCCTTGGGAGAAGGTGCGGTATATAAATTCAAAATAAAATAAATAAATAAATTACGATTTATATAATTTAATGCCACATAATTAATACAGATAGAGAATATCCTAACCTGTTAATCAAGTATTTTTTAAGGTAACCTGGAGGCTTACCTTTCTCTCCTGTTTTTATAAAAAATAGTCTCTATTCTGTTTTGTTTCTCATAGGAAAAGTTTGTGTGTTTTAAAGTGTTTGCATGCTGTGCGTTAATAGATCATTTGACACAGTGAAAACCATACCCAGTGGGTCTCTGACTTGCCAATAAGTCAGGTTTACAAAATTCAGCCAACACCAATGCTACTAAAGTACCCAACATGATTCATTTTACAGGATGTTATGGAATGAAAGTGGCAAAAAAGCAGAATTTCCATCTTTAGGCATGAAATAATAAATTTTGATTAATAAAGAAAATTAAGCTTATTTCATGATATAAAATAATATATTATAATATATTAACATAAAAAAGAAAATGTGTTTTAAATTATACACCAAAGAAGCCCAAAGTATGAAATACAAAGCACACTCAAGTGATACATTTTATACGTTATTATGGTTATGAAAAGTAATAGAGGAAAGACAATTTTCTAACAGCTTGAAATTATTATTCCTGTTGTTTCACTTCTCAGGCATTTTATGCTGTGGAAAATCCTGTAGAAATCAAGTATGGTGATATTCTGGCAGCAAGATGCGTCTTTACTGGTGAAGGCAGATCTTCAGAAACTTATATAGGGTATGTGTGTTAATATTTGTATTCAATTAATGTTTATATAAAAGTTGAGAATCAAAATGGTTGCTCCACATGGGAGAAAAATGGCTAGAAAAGTCTTAACTGTTAATATTTTATGCTTTGCCAGTGAAAACAGACCAGGGTATTGATACTACATGTGAAGACTCCCCAAAGATAATTTTTTTTTCACCTGCACATTAATCAAATCATTGTTGTGGCTAATAGTGTAACTGATAAAGCTGGAATCATCAGTTGTGGGGTTAGCGAGAAGTATTGTGAAAGCATGTTCCATTTATATCAAAGCTATCAAGAGGCTGACCAAGTTTCCATTGGCTGAGAAAAGCAAGAAAAAAAAGCCAAGTGTTTAAATCCTAGAGGGTAGACATAACAGGTCAGAATTCCTTATTCTGCTATGACAGTCCGCTGTTGTGTTACAGGCTTTAATCTTTTTTCAATAAAGACTCTAATCTAGTTGAGGTTTCTAAGAGTCATCTGCCAAGATTAGCCAAGCAATGAATAAGGGGTTATATGTCTTCAGAGTCACCATTTGCTGCTGAGCCCTCTGAAGCCTGACATATTTGATCTAATATACACAGTATATGTGTGAAACACTTACAATGACATCTATTCTGCAACTTAGTAGAATCAGCTAGGATCAATTTGTGTATATCATGTCACATATCCCAATTAAACTTGGATGTATAAATGATGGTTTTTAAAGGCATTATATGCTACCATTCATAGTGATTATGGGAAATAGATTCATTTGCAAGGAATAAAGAATTAATGTGTTCTAGTAGTAAACGTGTCATGATGAAGATGTCGTTTCTAAAATACAGTATCTGTACCTCGTTCATAGAGTTAATATAATATGGCAAAAAAATGATTACTTCATCTCCTATCTCACCAACTGTAAAATTTCTAGAGCAGGGTAGGGTAGAGTAGAGTAGAGTAGACTAGAGTGTTCTTTCTTGAGTTCCTTATTAAACCCATATAAGAGCTTTTTTAATGCAAAATATACAGTATGTATAGAACCTGGTTCTATAGTAGATCTAGGTTAACAATCGCACCTGGGACTGGCAACTCCATTGCTAAGCAACACAGTTAAGTGAAACATCACATTAACATACCCTTCAAACAATGTCCTTTGTACTGTGATCTTCAAGCAAATCAGTACTTTGGTTGTGCTTATTTTTGACTAGTGGTGGACTCTGGATGTGGGTACTCATCCATCCTAGCCCTCCATGACCTTTTGTCAACCTTTGATACCTCACAGTAAATTTCTAGAAGCAATTCAAGGTGCTGATTATCACCTATAAAGCCCTTTAAGAGGGCTTTCTTGGAATATCTTTTAATGGCTGTTTGTAGTGTGAGCTATTTTGTTTTGACTATGATTTTGTTTAAACTTAATACTAGATTTTATATGCTGCCCAGTATCTGCTGGGAGGATGGCAAAATAAAATGAAATGAAATGACAGATAGAGTCTGAGTAGTTCACAATGTCAACCTATTGTCCCCAACAACCTGGGTCCTCACCCTACCAATCTTGGAAGGATTGAAGGCTGAGTCAACCTTGAGCATCAAACTCCTGGCAGTGGGCAGAATTAGCCTGCAATACTGCACCCCAACCACTGTGTTACCACGGCTCTATTCTATCTCTAATGTTTGTGACATATTCAATCTATATTCTAGGCCAGTATTGCATACCTGAGGTATGAAGTATTGCCTACCTCCAAGATGATATACCCTGGGCAACATTCTGTTCTAACAAAGCGGCTAAAAATCTAGACACAAATGACAGACACTCTCTTCCCTTAAATGTTGTCTGGTGAATCATACCTTCTCCATAACTGAACCTACCCTTCAGAGCAGCTCCCTCTCTGAAATCCAAAGGGCTCTTACCATCTTGGCCATCCACAAGACTATAAAGACCTGGTTGTTCTCCTAAGCATTGAGCTAAAATGGGAGTGGAGGCCAGTGGAAGTATGGAGAAGGGATGTCCTGGGAGCACTATGTCAGGTATAACAAACCAAGAACAACATGATATTTTACTAGAGTAGTTTCTTTATTGTTTTTCACCTATAGAAGGAATCTTGCAGGACTAAAACACAATGTACATAACTATCAAATATACCCTGTGAACATTTAAGGAGGGTCCACACTACAACTCTTCCTACATAGGCAAATCTGGCTGATTTGTTCTTTGGTCCTCCTGAAAGACTTCTTCCATCTAGTGACTCTGTACCAGATTCCATCACACACTGTGAGATAATTTTTTGTTGGTGGTATTGTTTGTTTTTACATTTTATTGCTAGGCTGTAAGTTTCCTGGAGTTATTATATATATAAAATGGATAGTCAAACAAATATTTTAAATAAAGAGACATAAAAAGGATTTATTTGCAGGACTCACCCTGCTCTCTCGGTATCTAGCCATCCCGAGGATGGATAGACATAAGGATGACATACCCCAAAGTCTATTCACTAACCAAATGCCACCTTATGGGACGCTGGAAGCATGTTAGTATCCCATGCAATTTACTTCTAAATATATCCTGAAGTCCTGAACTTGCAGGTCTTTAGAAGGGTAGTCAAATCCTGGCTCTTTTTTGGTCTTGATGAGTAGTTGTTGGATGTTTTAGTTTAGTGATGATTTTATGGTATGAATTGACTTAATGAATTATGTTGTTTTCTTTGGGATTTGTATTTGTAGTTAACTTTGGTACACTGCCATCAATAATTCTCACAAAAATTTAGGGGACGCCATATTTGGATGGCAGAGCTTGTCAGGTCCAGCTCTTCTTTTGCCATCTGTTCTCGACACACGGTTTCTGAAAAGTTACTTTCAAAAAACAACCCTTTGGTTGAAAAAGATTCCCCATCCATATTTGTAGAGCAAGTGTTTAATTGCTCATTATTTTTCAGCAAATATAAAAAAGCAGTTTTGTCTGCCACTGATATCTTGTTTCTCATTAATAACTAAAGTTATAACAAATAGCCTACTTCTATATCTTCCAAGGATGGCAAATGTGCTATGTTAAAAATATTGACAATGTTTGGATATTGTTAATACATATAAGAAAGTTAGCTTTATTCCTCAATTACACTTCAGTGTTTTATTTATGTTTTAAAGAGGTGGCAGTTTTCTGACAGCTATCTAAATCAACTGGAAGGAGAGGAAATGAATATAAAAAGGAGGAGGCTAACACTAATCTTGCTGAGGCAAAACAGCTTTCTGGAACAGTTCCATATTTTAAAAAGGCTGGATACCAATTCTCTTTTGGGAAGGTCTCATTCACTTCCTGACAGATGTCATTATTGTTGCTATGGTGAATAAATGAATGCTGCATGATGCCACAGGATAAGAGTAAGCACTGATGTCTTTGGAAGCTGCACATAGTCCACCCCCACATCATTCTATTAGCGTAGGCTGACTGATTTGATTGCAAAAACTAATTGATGGGGGGAAAGATAGACAAAGCTTTTCACTGGTCTTCACTTCCCGTTCTATATCTTCCTGTGTTTCACACATTTTTTCTTTCCACTGAGCCCTCTTAACAAAATGATCTCAAAATGTGTGCATTATCAGTATAAACCTCTTGAAGCAAATGTTAAATATTCTGTATGCAGGAATACATTTTTTATTTCTGAAGAACGATGTTTAAATATTCTATTGATTCTTACTTAAGAAGCAATATTCCTTATGAAACAAATTATGAGATCTTTTTCAGTTTGAGTTCAGGCCTTAACACAGAATAGAGCTGTTCTAATAGATAATATTTTCAGGATACAGCAATCATTTTAGACCTCTTTCAATATTTCAGCCATGGTACTGGATCACCTATGGTAGGGGTGTCAAACTGGCAGCCCACAGGCCAGATGTGTCACACATAGTTCACACTCACCCCAGCCCCACAAAGGGAAAAAACGTCATGATACATCACATGACCGCAATGTGATACAGTGAGTTTGATACCTGTGGTTTATGGGGATTGAAGATTGGAGACACCTTTTATAGTGGTTACACTCTACCTTAGTTTGTATTCATTGATTATGTGGCATCAAGTCAATGTTGGCTCCTAGCAACCACAAAGATTTTCTCTAGAATGATTTGTCTCTAATCTGGTCTATAAAATCTTCCAATAATGTCACCATTAGTAACTAACTTCATCTAGGCTGCTGCTGGTCATCCTGTTCTTTTTCCTTTCATCTTCCCCAATATTAGAACCTTCTCTAAGAAGCTACATCTTTGAATACTATGTCCAATGTAGCATAATTGAGTTTGTCATTTAAGCCTTAAGTTGGGTTGAGTCATTTAGTTAAGCCTCTGGGTTGAGTCATTTAGTAATTCATTGGTTTGTTTTCTTGACTGTCCATATTGGGTGTCAAACTCATGGCGACATGTTGTTGTCACATGACATATCATGACTTTTTTCCCCTTCTCTTAACCAGGATGGTGGTGGTGGCCAGCACGTGATGCATCCGGCCCATGGGCCACGAATTTGACACCCCAGGTCTATAGTCTTCTCAAGAATATTTCCCTATGTCAAAGTTCAAAGTTCTTATCCTGCTTCTTCAAAACTACCTAACTTAGTAGACACTTCTAATCAGTGATAGATAAGGAACAGCCATAGTAAAGGGTACTTATTACTAAGCAGTGATAGATAAGGAACAGCCATAGTAAAGGGTAAACATTCAGCTTTGTTCCCATTGCTTTTCAACAGTTATATAAATCTGTTGGGAGAAATCATCACTAGTTTATGTAAAATATAATTGTATGCTACTTCACCACTCCAGAGTAAAGTAGGATACGATTATATCTAGGGTGAAGCAGGGTAAGAGGAGCTGTGGGGATCTAAGCCTAATATCTGAAACTTTATGAGGAACTAGAGAGGTAGAAACAAGCTTCAACTCAATCCCAAAAAGACAGAGTTTATGTTTGTTCACAAACATTCTGGTTTCACAACTGCTTCATTGTTAGTTCTAGATAAGGTTACTAACATTGTATATTTACACTTTCGAGAAGCTTCTCATAAATTTCCTGATCAAAAACTCTTGGGCCAGCTGAGCAATTAATAACAGATTGGACAAAAGAAAATAATAGGAATAAATTGGCAGTTTTCACAGTGGAAACAAATAAGAAGTAAGCATCATTAGGATCTGTTTCAGGCCCGGTGCTATTCAACCTGTTTATATACAAATTAATCTAATATATCCTGTGAGTTGCAAAAGTTTGTTTCTTTGTTTAATTAACTAACTTTATACAGTTTCCAACTCTCAGTTTTTGATTCTGACGAGATAAAAAATTAGTTAAGGAGTGAAGAAACAAATAGACTGTGAATTGCTTCTCTTTAGGACATTAAACCAGGACATTAAAAGCAAGTGCAATTCAATATCAGAAAGTACAAAGTAATCCACATTAGGGCTAGGAATTCATATTTGTGTAATCAAATAATGAGGATTGAATTGCCAGTGGTCAATCAAGAAAGAGATATTGGAGTAAATGAAATCATTTACATGATGTGCAAATTTGTAAAGAAGACAACTTCCTTGATAAGGGTCAGTAGAAAATACATAATAAGTCGACTAATATGTTAATGTCCCTATAAAACATTATGGCACATCTAGTATCTGGGATACAGTTCTGGTCATTAGATCTAAAGAAAAGATATCAATGGATTGAAAAATATATACAGATATATATCTGGGACTACAGAAAAGGCAATCGATCAGACGGCATGAACACCTTCCATGTAAGCATAGGCAGCAATGATTTTTACATTAGAAAAAAGTACTTAGAAATGTTTCAGATTGATATAACTATGCATGGTAAATTGAACAAAGAATATGTTTGTCCATCATTGACCATATGGACAAGAATTAGAAATTATGTAGTGACTGATAAGACGATTTGAAATTGATAAGAAGAAAAGTGTCTTCATTGGCATGTAATTAACTTGATGGAAAAGGAGATTAGAGAAATTCCTACTAGCTTGATTACTGAATGCTGCCTCCAAATACAGATGCAATCTGGCTTCACTTATTAGATACGCAAGAGCAACAATGGGAAAGAACAGCTGCCCTGGTCTCCTATTTGTTGCCTTCTAGGTGTATCTGGGGTGTAGTGTTTGAAACAGAATGCTAGCTAGATAGTTTAGGTATAATCTAATCAGGCTATTCTTATGTTCTCCATAAAGTTGTAAGAGCAGGTGGAAATTTTGCTCTAGATGGTCTTTCCCCAGCTGAAATTGATAAACTGATTTTTGCCTCTTTTGGACCAAGATAGTCTAGCAATGTTCTTATTACTTACTCACTTAGATTACTGTAACACTTTCCAGATGCCACTATTTTGGAAATTACAGTTAGTACAAAAGGAGGCAACTAAGGTGATTAGTGGGTGAGTGCTCCCATTGTAAATATTATATCTATTATCTGGCCGCTGGATGGGTTATCTCAAGTTCCAATTTAAAATTACAAATTTGACTGATACAGCCCTATATAGCTTGGTGTTCCTTAAGGACTGTTTTTTCTAGATGGAATTTGCTATGTCTGGACAGGCAGAGGAATAATGTTCATGCTTCTGTCTCTGTATGAATAACAATCAACACAGATCCTAAGTAATCCTCCTCTTTTGTCTGTGAAGACATTACAGAATCCCTTGTTCCCAGAGGTGCACTTGGCATCCTCTCTACTAGCTTTCTGCAAGCTAGGTCTAGTGCAGACAATTTTGTTGGAGCCGTCATTTGTGGGTTAGTGGTTGACTATTACTTGGGTGGGCACTGATTTGTATTTGTTTTGAATTTCCTTTGGCTTTTATATTTAATATTTTGAGTAAACTGTCAGGTGTATGTTTTGAGCTGGGTGGCATGGAAATACTTCTAATGAATAAATAAATGGATTTGTCATGTTGAAAACACTGATACTGTATTCATTAATTTTCTTTTGCATTAATTCTTTAAAAGAAAAGGAAAAGGCTTGCAATCTAAGCTTGAGGGAAAATTGCAGCATCACTATTATAGCATCACTTAATCTAAATAAAAGATGCTACAATTAGTGTCCCATAATAACATAATGAAACTAGGTTTTTTTTTTTTTAACTTGGATCTATACTTTGTGGCCTTGCAGAACAAGGGAGAGGCAATACAATGAATCTGGCATGCATTAAATAGAAGAGCCCTAAATTAAAAGAGTAAATTATTAATGATTTTGTAAATGGAATATATCATCTGGATGGGTGGTGGGACGGTGGAGGAGAATTCTTCAGGAAAGAATAAATAGTTTATACTGTTGCATTCCATATAAGTAATCTTGATTGAAATCTGCACTGCTGGATGCATTTTGATGGAAGCTTGTGAAATATATCTGCAAAAATAAAACAAAAATGAATTGTATAGAAGCCACAGTTAAGCAGCCATAGCCTTAATACGACTGAGTGATAACTAAGAATCTGTCAGTGGAAAAAAGTTTGCTTTGAAGGCTGAAGGTGTTAGGAATTTCTACTAAGATCTAATATACTTCATAAAACTATGTAAAACAATGTTCTTAATAAATGCTAAACAAACAGTTGAGATAATAGCTTTTATTTCAAGAGCCCCATGCATGTTTAATGTGAAATATTTTTAAAGAATAGTGCTATCTGACTTTGTAATTGGAAGATGTCCTTCCTCTTCTACATTTTACATTAATCTTTATAAGTGTGTTTCCTCTGTAGCTAAAATTTATATTTTAACTTTTCTCTCTACACATATTTTGATGAAGAGGCACAGCCAGGGATGAAATGTGCAATTTCTATATTATGTATTACATGGAAGCCAAATATGCAGTTTCATCCATGATATGTACACAGAACATTAAGCCAGAGATATTCAAAGGCATACCTCAAGAAGCAAATATCGCTATTCCAGTCAAGCCTGATATGACTATGATGGCCCATGGACATAATGAAGGTAAAAATGTTTATTCCTTTGCTAATATCACTACGGGAAAGAATTATGTGGCTGAGTATTTGTGAGGAAGTCAACCAAAGTGATTGAGATATCTTTGTAAACATGCTGATATTTAGATATGCAGCCAAAAAAAAGTGCCAAAAAATCCAGCACAGTCCTCCAGGTAGTGAACAGTACATTCAGCTGTTATGGTATTATGTAGTATTTAATAGTTTAAGAGTCAGTTGTCATATTACTTGGTTCTACATCTTACTATATGCGAAATAAATATTAATAATTGGACCAAATTCAAATCAGAATCTGTTATTCCAATATGTCTAATTCTATGTAAAATTAAAAAGAGTGTTAATGTTTATTGATTGAATTTTAATTCTGTTCTTTTATCTTTTTCGTATCTTTTGTGTTAGCTTTCTTTATTATCCAGATTGGTGAAAAAGTGAAATAAAAATTTAAAAGAATGCAGAGATTCAAGTTAAATGAAGCTTCCTTATATTCTGTTTAACTAGTAAATGCAGTTGAATATGTAGATAAGATACAGTTTAATTTTATAGAAATCCACCTGCTTGATTATCATATATCCAATGTTTCTCTTTCCCCCTTTCTTCTCTGTTAAACATAAATGTTTCGGAAAAAGCAGTTCTATGATTAAACTAACTGAAATTTGTTATATTGAAACTGGGCCAAACTTACAGTTTTAAGATAATATGTACTGAAGACTGAATTTATTTTTAATCTAGGTATAAGACGCACATTTTCCCCCCTAAAAGAGGGTGAAAATTTGGGTGATACACTGAATGTAGCCCCACCCAGCCTCTGAAACCTCCGTTTCAGAGCCTGGAAAAAAAGCCTCTGAAACTTCCATTTGAGAGGCTGAAAAAAAAAAGCCTCTGAAACGGAGGTTTCAGAAGTGGAAAAAAAAGCAAGGCACAGAGCTCACAACCAACAAACTTGTTGCTAAAGCTTACCTCTGGGAACACTTGATTGGGGGTATTCCGGGAGGCCGATCCACCCTGAATCAGCTTTTTTCTTTTTTTTGCTCCCCAAAAACTAAGGTGCGTCTTATACTCTGGTGCGTCTTATAGTCCAAAAATATGGTAGTATATATGTGGTATATAATGGAGATGTTGAACCTTTGGGAGCTGTATGCAATGAAATTTCATTTTAATGTATGCCAATTAGTGTACATTCAAAATGACAATGAAGTTATTATTCCATTCTATTGTATTCATAAACTTTCCAGAAGAGAAACTATTACATTAATGCCATATCTAAACTGAGATAATGCCTTTTAACATCAGGTGATATATCAGGATAGAGTAGAGCAAGAATGACTACGTTTCCATATTCCAAACAATTTCATATCACTTGCAGGGGTGGGTTCCACTTACCTTTACTACCAGTTCGCAATGGGAGCACGCGTTTCTGCGCATGCGCAGATTGTCAGTGATGATGTCGGAGCGGGTGAGAGGAGCCTCCCATCACCATTACTACCTGTTCACAAGAACCGGATCAAACTGGGAGCAATCCACCACTGATCACTTGGTTATAAAATTAACCAAAATGTCTTGCAGACTACAATCTATATTATTGTTCTGCCCCAGCTACGGAGCCCAAAGAACACACAAAGTCCGTACAAACCTTAGTTTACTAATTAAGGACTACTAATGAGCTTTCTTAGTAGTTGTTCGAACACAAGTACAGTTTAAATCAGTCTTTTCTGAACAAGGGCTGTTAATTTAACTTCATTAACAGCCAACAAGAATCCAAAGAATAATAACTCAATTCTGAGGCACAGTATTTCAGATAACCGTAATCTTATTGTGGTCAGCAGAATGCCAGAAGCAATTTGTAGGAAAACTGACAAGAGATAAACAAGAGCCGAATCAAATGTTTTTGGAATCAAGATGCGAAGGAATATGAATGAAGTTGTTTCCTGCAAATTGCATCAGTCGTCATCCTTCCTTAAATAGGCTAGGGGAATGGCCAATTAGTCCCAAGCCCTACTCTCAAGGAGACCGCCTCCTGAGAAGCCACTCCTGCCTTTTAACAGCTCTGCGCGCTCGTGCATCAAGAAGAGGCTCCTCCTCTTCTTCTTCTTCACTTATGGGAGCTTCTGGAGGTTCTGAAGGTCCTGGCTGAATTCCCGCCTCTGGCACCACATCTTCTCCAGCCTCCTCATTGTCTGACTCGAGCGCCAGCTGCACAGGCTGCTGGCGCAGCACCACACCAGCCTCCTCGCTGTTGGAATCAGCTACTAACTGCACAAGCCGCTGACGGGCCACAACAATTATAAATAATTGATAATATTGCAATAATCTCTTGTGAAGGTCAAAATAATTGTAACCAAAAAGAAAATGTTTTCTAATTTTTATATCCAGTCTTATTTCTGTGAGAAAAATATTCATTGACTAGTACATCTGCCCTTTCTGTAGTAATTTATTTGATAAGAATTTGATACATTGCAGTGTTCTTTCAATTGAAGACCATTGTGAGCCTGAATTCTCACATATGGTTACCTATGAATCATTAAAGAATAAGTGGCATAATAACTTATGGACAGGAATGAGCCAAGTTACAGATACTTATAAATCAATTATAAATAGTATATTTTAATTAATTAAATCAAATCCTCAAATATAATAATTCTCTTCCAGAAATTAATAGTTGCTCTGTTTCTTCATGGCATTCAGCCTAAATGTAGGTGCATATGGATTAGCCAGAAGAAGCAGAATTCTTTATTTCTCTTCCCTATAGTGACATATCCAGAAATCCCAAATTGTATGACTATGGTCAAGAAATGGTTGAACTGTGCATCTAAAGACAAACCAGTATAAATACTTTCATTTTATAAGCATCCTGTTAGACTTACAAAATTCCAAGCAATTGCTATGCAGCCAAGGAAGACTATGCAAATTTGGTCTTCCAAATTTTTAGCTTAAATTCAGTAGGCCTAATCATTTGCCAGTATCTTTTTTTGGGGGGGTGGGGGGTGGGACAGGTTTATGATCCTCTTGCATGCTTGATTACATCTAGATTCATGGTGATTGGATATTGATATAAATGTCATTGGGTAGAAGAATAAGTATTTCTATGAATTTCTCTAGTAATTTATTTCATATTTGTCTTATGACATTTCTTGATGAAATTTCTTTCATTTTCTTTTTAGAAATCAAAAATGAAGGCACGGGTATGATAATACAACAGCCAAAAAGAGAAGAGGAGGAGGTTTTAGATCAGGGTATGTATTACATTTGTCCCTTTAAATACATACTGTTTTATAATTCTAGTGTTAAAGCTGTTGCAGTGTTATAAATATAATTGAAGCTTTTTTTTTTTTGCTAATACATAAAGCCACTCTGTTGTAGTGCCCCAAATGTTTTAAGAGAAAACAGTTGATTACCAACTTCTAATCTTGCAAAAGCCTCCGTTAGCACAACCTAATTTGATTTTTCAAAGTTAATTTATTTATTTAATTAATTAATTTGTATAATTGTAATAATGCAATAATCTGATACAATAATCTAAAACTATTATTAGATTTTACTATATTCCAAATAGTTAACACTTAATTTGTAGCTTTTGGTTACAAAAAATAATAACAGAAAAATAATGCATACATATTATGTAAGCAGTACATTTTGACACTTATATTTATAACATAAAAATTTTAGTTATGTTTGCCCTAATGTGGAGTAGCTTGGCAATAAACTTGAAATCTGCACAAAATAAATATATCTCTGTGTTTTAATACTTAATATTAATATTAATTTTATTTCAGTGTAAATGTGTGAAATAGGTTTAACTGCATGTTTTTCAAGGCTTATAGTAAACAAATCAAACATTAATATCTTTAGGGTTTTATTAAAGTTTTCTTGGGAGGGTGTCATTTCTTGTGGTTCACTGTAGGCCAAAGAATGGATAATGGAATTAAATTTATATAATACTTACTTATAAAAATATAGCTATAGGTTCCTTATATAGCATATATAATGTTACTCATGCATACATAATCAGTCAATCAATATCAATCAATATGCAAAGGGAAGATTACCTCGCTTGTATTTTTTCGATCAGTACCTTAAATGTGTTTGCAATCGTTATTTTGTAAAGGTGTTTGCCTCTCTTATCTATGAGAACAAAATGCAAAATGTCTCTATTAGATGAAATCATATAAAATGTTTGTACTAGGGGAAAGCATCAGCAACTAATAATTAATTGTGATGCTTTATTTGTCTGTGAAATGTTTCAGTGGAAAAAAAATTGATAATATTATTCTGATGAAGTCTTTGCTTTATATTTGTAATTCAGTGATTAATTGTGTATTTGCATATTTCAACAACCTAGGTTGCTGGTCATCCTTCTCCAGAGATTATCAGGGATAATTAGCTGATAAGTGGTACTGTCTTTAAACGGATAAATTTATACAGTTAGTCCTCGACTTACAACAGTTTATTTAGTGACCTTACAACGGAACTGAAAAAAGTGACTTATGATCATTTTTCACACTTACGACCTTTGTAGCAGCCCCATGATCATTGGCAATTGATTCATACTTATGACTGTTGTTGTGCCCCAAGGTCATGTGATAACCTTTTGCAACCTTTTGACAAGCAAAACCTATGGGGAAGCCAGATTCACTTAACAACTATGTTAAGTGAATCTGTGTTAAGTGAACTTATCAACTGCAGTGATTCTCTTAACAACTGTGGCCAGGAAGGTCATGAAATGGGGCAACGTTGATTTAACAAATGTCTCATTTAACAACAAAAATGTTGGGCTCAATTGTGATCATAAGTCGAGGACTAACTGTACTTTATTGCCCTGATATTCCTCTTTGCCATAATTCTATGCTGTTTAAATTGCTATAAATTAAAAAACAAAATACTACTTTTGTAGGTAGACATTTCAACAAGTTGAGTTTCTAATGTTTTTGGTTTTCAGTGAATGCCCTTTTGCTAAGTGTACAATTTTGAAATGTTTTTCTGTGTTAGCAGTTGTGTTACTGCCAATGGGACTGATAAAAAATATGGAAAAGTACAGTTCTATTCAAAGCAAAGTTGAAGGGAAAGGAAAAAAGACATTTCTCCCAGATAAAAAGGAAAATTAGAGTGGAAAGGTTTATAAATTGACACAAAATCTTACAGACTTCCCATGTTCCTTCTCTGTCAGCCAGAATTTCCAGTGTCCAGTGAAATCAGTAATTTAGGTACTAGGCTCCAGGATACATGCACATGGTCTAGTTATATATTTATATGCACATGATTTATTTAATCATTTGACAGATTTATGTCCCACCTTTCATTCAGAAGCTCATGTTGGTGTACACAGTCTCCCAAAGTCCATTGGCAGTTAGCGGTGCATAAATTAATTTAAAAATTCCCTTCTCACCCCTGTGAGTGGTATATGTCTTCCTCAATTTTGGGTCCTCATGATGATGATACATGTAGCAATGCCACATGACAGCAATATCAAGAAGAACTATGATAAGTTAAAGATGTACCTGGACCTGAAGGAGGAATTAGAGGGATGTAGAAAGATAAATGCCAAAGTGGTCTTAGGACTGTGACCCATGTCTCCAACAGATCCTGGTAACAACATCAGAACTCTCTGTCCAGAAAAGTGCAATGTTAGGAACAGCTAAGATATTGTGTAGAACCCTTAAACTCCAAGGCTGAAGGGCTTCAAACATATTCAGAACAGCAGTGGAGACAGTGCATCACCTTGGTATATTCTACACTTGATAGCCATTTGTGTGAGCTATCTTGAGTTGATTTTCAGTGTTGTCTTTCACAATCTGATTGAGTTATTGAGGAAGGTTTTTCATGTTGTGTTGACTGTGTATACTGCCAGGCATTCATAGATCCATGTGTGTGGCATTAAGATATAGGCTTCCTATAATCAATCTAGGCTATGCCCAGTTTGGTCTCAGTGTTGTTGGGTTTTTTGCCAGCATCCTAACCACTTCAGCCACTTTAGCATTTAGACCTCACCTCTATAAATGTACCCTGTTTTCCCGAAAATAAGACATCCCCTGATAATAAGCCCAATCGGGCTTTTCAGCGCATGCACTAAAATAAGCCTCTTCTTGAAAATAACCCCTTCCCGAAAATATTTAAACGCAGAGCTGGAAATCAGGTAAGATGGAAAGAGGAGCCGCACCTTGCTCCACGTGCCCCAAAATAATAAGACCTCCCCGAAAATAAAGCCAAGCGCTTATTTCAGGGTTCAAAAAAAATATAAAACAGGGTCATATTTTCAGGAAAACATGGGTATGTTTACATATGTGTTCGTCAACCCTCCCTCCCATCTAGCAGAGCCAAGAGGAAAATTTTATATTAATTGATTATATGCCTGCTAATGAAAATTAAGTATTTGTAAAATTATCTAATCACTTATTTGCATATACTCACAATCACTTTTCACACACATAAGTACATACAAGTGCAAAGGTCCACTCATCTGCATAAGTAAATAGAAGAACACAGTAATTCCCATAGGGAAAGAGAGGTGGAGTTCAATGGCTCTTCCTTCCAGGAACATATTTATAGGAGGCTAAGGCTTATTTTCCTCCTTTTTTTCCATCATATCCAGAGGGAAGACACTTCTTTCAGTTTTAAGGTCTCTAGTAATTAATGATCCTAATTTTCATGAATCTCTATTAGCTCGGACAGCCTTTAGGGAGGCTTTCTGAGATAAACACTTTCCTTACCAGAATTTCCCATCCTGGACAATCTCCAGATATGAATCGACAGCCAGAATTCTCAGTTATGATCATGATCTCTAGAAATACTGCTATACATATACATGCCAGTGAGAGGAAGATAATGTGCACACTTTTCTTCTTTGAAGGAATGGTAGCAGCTTTTTCTCCTCTGACAGCTCTTTCAAGCATGTTGTTCATTATTTGTGTTGCCTACCCATTTCTTTGTTCATATAAAAATATTCTTTGTGCTGTATGCTCAGCAAAACACCAACCCCACTCCAAATCACAACAATTTTGGGGACAGTCCAGCAGTGAAATCCACTTACCTTCGCTACTGGTTTGAGAATGGGAGCACAAACGTGCTATGCATGCATGCGCCTCTTTTGCGCGTGCACAGATGGTAAAAAAGGGACATAATGACGTCCTGGTGGGTGGGCGGAGCCTCCCGCTTCCAGCACTATCGGTTCGGCGAGCCGGATAGAACCGGAGGGATTTCATCGCTGGGACAGTCCTTCTTGACCTTTTTTTATACCTGTTGAAAGACAGCAATTTGTAATATGCAATAGAATGAAATTTTACAATATGGCTTCAAAGCTGGGAGAGTAAATAGTCAGATGTTTCTATAAATTATATTATAATTTAGCACTGAACTAGAACGGACACCATGCATAGGCATTGAACACTTGTGTGTTCTTATTCTCAAGTGGCTTAGTATCACCCAACAGGCCTTTGTTTGCAAGGTTTCCTCTGAAGTAAATCCTGCAGATTTTAATGTGATATTCTAAAGTGTTTTCTTGCCTGGGAATTCGTGCTTAATATAGCAGTTAATGGACTCTCAGTATGGTATTGATATTAATAGAAAATTTTGCATTAAAAAAACACTAAAAAGTTTCTTCTGGGATTTTTCTTGTAAAAACATTATTTTAAGAAGATGCTACATTATTATTTTATTCAATAAAAATCTCTGCTTTTTAGATGTATACATGCTTATATGGCAACACATTCTTTGTAATTGGCTAAGAAAGAATTCAAAATTCTTAAGACTGTGTATGAGTTCCTATAATTTTTTTAATAATTGATATAAAATATCTTTTCCTACGGAATTTTATTGCAATAGTTTTAGTTTTATATATAAGAAAAAAATATAAAGCCAATATTGAATTTTCACTTAGAATGCTAATTACAAAGGTATTAAATTAATATAATTCTCTCAAGAATTCATATCTATGAATAAGGCCCCGTTAGCTAATGGATTGATTTTGAATGTTTTATTGGCAATATATTGTCTAACGCAGGGAGTTGCAGTCTTTTTTTCTAGTGCAAGATATATTTCTCCAGATAATTTGTTGCCTATAGGATAACAATTATGGCACAAGTGAACCATAAATTGGTCAGTCCCTCTTTCCAATTTTTTTATAACCCAGCAACATCTTTCCCAAGCAGTAAATTGACAGGAAAGTGACAGATATCTTTTTCCAGAGTTCCTAAATAGCATTTAGAAATACACATGGTTGTAACTATTTTGTATGACACCA